CGGACACCAGCAGGCAGCCCCTAAAACTCTCCCTTGGCAGAACTTGCTCAAACCATATCACATGTGGCGAGTAATGTCACCAACATCATGGTTACCATTAAAGGGTTGGTTCTGAAAACTAGGTTTTTGATTTGTTCGTGTGTCCCTTAGAACATATCCGAGACCAACAGTCTCGTTTTCCTTTCTTTTGCACCGAGAGGGTCCAGTTCTAGAATGAGGTCTAGACCTGGTTCTGTCTTTGGTACTTACGGCTGGTATTCCGGTTTATTTTTGAAATCTTGCCTTTCGGCCTCAAGGCAATTAAGATGATTGATGAGCAATGTCCAGAATTTTTCTTAGAAGCTTTTCTTCATCATTAACTTTTTTATTCATACTATCGAGCTTAAGTGAGCAAATGAGATTATCTTGTTCTAAAACCACTTCACTGTACTTGAGCCTTTCATCTATTAACTCTCTCACTTTTGTTTCCAGCCTTATCTTGGCTCTAGTGGCTTCCTCGAGTTTGGACTCAACTTCAATAATTTGTGATTTAAAATGGTCGTCATTTTCAGAAAAACTTTGATTAAGCTCGATAGTTAGTCTTTTAAAAAATTTCCAAACCTCGCCTTTAGAAAGAGAGTCAAATTTAGATAGAAAGTTTTCTAAGTTTACGTCAAAGTTCTCTTGGTCGGATTCCTTGTCGGAATTGGCTATGAGGCACAACCCTGCATGATTGGAACTCCTCTCACCTTCTTCCTCATCATCATCGGATAAGTCTCCCCAGGCGTCCATCATTGCCTTTTTGAGGTCTTTGTTGAACCCTTTATCTTCACTGGACCTCCGGTGGGAACTGGTTTTGTTCTTGTCGTAGGTTCTGTCATTCTTCTTTTGGGGACAGTCTTTTGCACTGTGCTCAAAGGACCCACAAACAAAACAACCCTGGTTAAAAGATTGAAAACCCTTTTTACCTTACTTCCTTCGGTTTCCTTTGAACTTCTGGTACATCTTCCCGAATTGCTTGGCAAACATGCTCATCTCGTCTTCCGATTCACTTTCGAATTCCTCTTCTTCCTCTCGAGCCTTGAGAGCTATTCCTCATTCCTTTCTTGCATTCTCGACATCTTGTTCTTACTGTAGGCCTAACTCATATGTCATGAGTGAACCGGTCAAATCTTCTAGTGTCACGGTGGTGAGATCTTTAGCTTCCTCTATTGTTGTAGTTTTAGGTTTCCATACGAACAATAAGCTTCTCATAACTTTTCTTACTTGATCTTCCACAGTAATATCTTTCCCAAGTGCTGAAAGCTCATTTAAAATATTAGTAAAACGTGTAATCATGTCCCTAATTGACTCTTTAGGTTTCATTACGGACAATTTGTAATTACACATAAATATGTCAATTTTGGACCTTTTTACTCCCGAGGTACCTTCATGAGTAACCTCGAGTAAATCCCACATCTTTTGTCAGAACTGCATCCAAGAACACGGTTGTGCTCAGCCGGACCAAGTCCACAAATCAAATATTTTAATGCTAGAGCATTATGCTCGAGTTTACGATAATCATCAGAAGTAAATTCAGATTTGGGTTTAGGGACAAATCACCTTCGACATCCACCTTAGTGATGATGTTATCACCTGTCTCAATTATGTTTCATACCTGGTAGTTCTCAGCCTTGATGAAGTTCTCCATTCGCCTCTTCTAGAATTGGTAAAATTTGCCGTTGAACAACGGTGGTCGTTGAGTCGAGTAACCCTTTCCAATCGTTCAACCGTATTCATATCGCCGGATCTCATCCCAAGGTTTTACCGTTTCTGTGGTGAAGACTGGCTCTGATTCGAATTGATGAAACGGTTAGCAACACAAGAGGGTGGGGGGGGTGAATTTTGTGTGTGTGCAACCGTGGTAGTTTTTCGCACAGTTCTAGTGTGGCGTTCAGGGAATTGCGAAATAATAAAGTGCACCAGGATTTAACGAGGAAAAATCCCTTGGCTCAAAGGGATTAAAACACCTTGACCTCCCTCAGAGGAATTTTCACTAAAATTCCCTAAAATTAACTAACGTCCAATTAATATTATTAAACTATTAATTTGAGCAAATTAATAATACACAATACTAAAATTATCAACATCTTAATCTTATTAATAATACACATTTAACAATTCACTAAATTAAATAATATGAGTAAATCCAATAATTTGAGCATATATATACTCATTTGAATTAAATAATACTTAAATTTAACTAATATTATAAAAAATTTAACTAATTTAGTTCGTTAATTAATTAACAACCTTTTTTAAATGCATTTAATTTAAATTTAACTAATATTAACAAAAATTTGACTAATTTAGCTAATTAATTAATTTTACTTAATGTGTCACTACGATTAAACCTTCGTTTTGATCTCGTCTTGTCTGGTCTGGAACAGATTACAGTCCAAGTAAAAACAACCTAACTTTGGAGCGTTGGAAAATATAATTTTGGATGTTGTCACGGAATTAGTCACGGCATAATCCGTGACTAAGTCCTAGTTTGAAAAAATCATGACGGAAACACAACGAAGATTTAGGTTTAAGTTTAGTCACGGAATCAGTCAGGGATTTGTCCGTGACTAATTTCAAATTTAAAATATAGCCCGCCGGTCTAGTCTGATCTGGTCTGTTTTAGTCTGGTCTGGTCTGATCTGTTTTGATCTGGTCTGGTCTGGTCTTGTGTGGAACGAATTACAGTCCAAGTAAAAACAACCTAACTTTGGAGCGTTGGAAAATATAATTTTGGATGTTGACACGGAATTAATCACGGGATAATCCGTGACTAAGTCCTAGTTTGAAAAAATCATGCCGGAAACACAACGACGATTATATCAAGCAGAACAAAGTTCGTTACTGATAGAACCGGTAGTAGTTCTATCCAAAGGGTCCACTTGCATGGTTAGTCAAATAACTTGTTCAGTTCTATCATTGTTTTGGACCCAAGGATAGTGTTCCTTTTTGTTTAAGGTTAGTCATCAACAAAACTAAATAATTAAAAATCATCTATAATTTAACTAATTTAAGTAATTTTAATTAAATACTACTTTATTAACCTCATGTTTAAATTACACCTACGTTTAGCTAATTTTAACTAATTTATTTCATTAATTAATTAACAACCTTTTTTTAACTAAGTTTTCACAAAACTAAATGAAATTGACATAATTCGTTACTTAATTAATAATATCTCTAATTGAACAGTTTATCACACTTAAAATGAACCAACTAATTCATACAAAAAAAACAGAATTCAAATTACATACATTACCTGTATAAACAGGGAAAATGATATAAGATAGCTAGATTACATCCTTCAATTCAATCTTTCAAAGAGTTTGTGTGGTTCTGTTAGATGAATCTGATGCTGCATATTTAAAATAATTAGTCACGGATGTGTCCGTGACTACGTAAAGTCGTACAAATTACCAGTACATATTAAGGATGTTTTTACATGGACTGTAATTTGCTGGTCTGGTCTGGTCTGGTCTGTTTTGGTCTGGTCTGGTCTGGTCTGTTTTGGTCTAGTCTGGTCTGGTCTGAAATTTTATTTTATATATTTTTTGCATAAAGATTTTATTTTTTATATATTTTTTATAATCCATAAATAATTATATTTTATTCATTTATAATTAAAAATAATAATATCCTATCCGAATTATCCAAAATTGTTATCGTTTTACTTGGTCTGATTTCAATCCCAGACCGAAGCAGATCAGATCAGACCAGACCAGACCAAAATAGAAAAGACAATATCGAACCGGAATAATAATAATAATAATAATAACAATAACAATAATAGTAATAACAATAATTATAATAATAATAATAATAATATTAATAATAGTAATAATAGTAGTAATAAGAATAATAATACTACCTCCGTCCCTTAAAACTTTGCCGAAATTGACCGGCACGGAGAATAATAAAGTAAAAACTGTGTGGTTGAGGTTTGTGTAGAGGAGCGAGAAATAACAGAAATCACAAAATAATTGATTAAAAGGTAAAGTGGCAAAGTTTTTTGGGACGTCCCAAAAAGGAAAGATGACAAAGTTTTAAGGGACAGAGGGAGTAATAATAATAATAATAATAATAATAATAATAACTATGGGCGTGCACTATCCGGTTTAAACCGGAAAACCGGACCGAACCGGGCCGGAAAAACTTGAACCGGATCGAACCGGAATGATATCCGGTTTGGTTCGGTACACTCCGGTCCGGTTTTCACCCGATGCACACCCATAATAATAATAATAATAATAATAATAATAATAATAATGATGATGATGATAAAATATGGTCTGATCTGGTCTGGTCTGGTCTAGTCTGGTGTGGAACGAATTACAGTCCAAGTAAAAAAACCGTAACTTTGGAGCGTTGGAAAGTATAATTTTGGATGTTAACACGGAATTAGTCACGGAGCGTTGGAAAATACAAGTCCTAGCTAGTTTGAAAAATATCCTGCCGGAAACACAACGAAGATTTAGGTTTAAGTTTAGTGACGGAATCAGTCACGGTACGGATTTGTCCGTGACTAATTTCAAATTAAAAAAATAACCCGCCGGCGGCACAATTGGGTTGGCCGGAATAGGTTTAATTTGTCACGGATACAATTGGGTTGGCCGGAATATAATAGGCCCGAGAGTAGACAAGGCTGCCCGCCTGCCCCCAGTTTAAATATGAGAGCACATGATTTGGAAGTTAGGGTACGTGTGAAAGATGCATGGATTTAAAGGTGTTGCTTCAATATAATGGATACGTATATAATTAATTGTGGTTGGGGCAAGCTAGGAATTTTGAAAGGAGCAGTGTGGGGCGGGTAGTGTGAAGTTTGACCGAGTGGCGGTTGGTTCAATAAAGAGGCCGGGCAGCCGGTGTACGTAGAACAGAATACAGTATGAATGCACGCGGGCAGCCCACACACTACTTTGACTCATCAGTCGAAGTATACAAATAAATAGATATCATCATCCGTTGTTTCAATTCCTTCTATATACGAAGTATATAAATTCCCCACTCCGTTCCTTTCATAGCCTAGCATAGCCTCTTTAACTGCAAATCAAATTAAACCCATCAGTTATATTCCAATGGAGTTTCTTGTGGGCAAATCCATTCTCATCACTGGCGCAACTGGTTTCCTTGCCAAAGGTACGTACTTAACTTCGCTCCTCACCGCCCAAATTATATCACTCCCTCCGTCTCGAAAAAGTTCGTCAAATTCACTTTTTTTGGTGATGCATGCATGGCTAATGATATTTTTTAATACGGAATTATTTAGAACATGAAAATTATATCAAAATGTTCCTTATTCAAAATATATACTTTCGTTAAAGACTAAAATTTATAAAATATATTCAAATATAGTATTTAAAATCGTTTTCCAAAGTTTCCCATAATTGACAAAGCTAGAAAAGTCAATATGGGAACCTTTTCGGGATAGATGGAGGTAGTAATTCAATAAATGCCGCATGCATGCGTTCTTTTTCAGAATATAATTAATAATGCTACTAATATAATTGCAGTGCTAGTGGAGAAGATACTTCGCACTCAACCCGACATAAAAAAGCTCTACCTTCTCATCAGAGCCAATGATTCTTTATCTGCTATCAAAAGATTTAATACTGAGGTATGTAATATACATGTAATTAGTTAGCTAGCGTTTCAGTTCATCAGTCTACTGTTTTTCTAAATCTCGTCTACCACATGTTTTTATGATAATTCAAAATTTACATGTTGCTACTTCACCAAACCACCTTCACGTGCTCACTAAACTAAACATTTTTATTTCAATATATATATATATATATCAATGATAATCAAAGGCTTGTTCAAATTTCAGGTTATGGACACTGAATTGTTTAGAGTCGTGAAAGAACAATACGGTGAAAAGTTTAAGGCCCTTGTGGAGGACAAAGTGTTCCCGGTGGCGGGTGATATTTCCTTCAAGGATTTGGGAATTGAAAATGTTGAGCAACTCTTGGGAGAATTAGACATAATTATTAACTCTGCTGCAACCACTGTATTTGATGAGAGGTACGGTACTGATTTATTATGTATTCAATTCAAATTAAAGGATCGGATTGCCTACATCATGGCTACTATACGTATATTGTTATCGTACATAGAATTCTTGATTTGACTCTTATATGTTATCTTAAAATAATTGTAATAGTTTTTTCCTCCCTAATTATTTCCTTGAGTTTACTCTTATTTTTCAAATAAAATACAAATTACTTTTTTTTTCAAATTAAAGAGTGTCATTTGTACAAAGTATTAATAAGTTTCATCATTTATATATCATACTCATCTACCTGAAAAAGAAAGTACAAACAATGAATGTGAGACAAATAACTAAACTGAACATAAAACAGTGAATCAAATATTATTACAATCATATAATTGTTTGCATTGGTTTGTTTATATATATAATTGTAGGTATGATGTTGCAATGAGTATAAATACAATGGGCGCAACAAATGTTCTGAATTTTGCCAAGAAATGCCATAATCTTAAGATGATCGTTCATGTATCCACCGGTACGTTTGAATAATTATATTGAATATGTATTTCATTTTATTTTAAGCAGTATGTACACACATCTACTAATACAATTTAAAATAACGGCGGTTCTTAGTAGAAAATAGGAGCTAATCTTCCTCATTTGTACACACTTTTGGATATATGGATGAGATGAACTTTTAGACTAGAAGAGTGACAACGTAACGCTATTGCAAATACTAATTACTTGAAATAAGACTACACCTATAAAAGTGCATGGAATTGAAGATATAAAATTTGTATATATTGCACTACAAAAGTATACAAGAATCTCGATGAAACCTGCACATGTTAAAAGATATGACAAATTTTTTTTAACATTTATTTATGAATATATAAGCTCTTATTTATAAGCTCTTTTTAATATAAAATAATGCACAATGAAGTTTCACACAATTACAATTTCACTACTTATTTTTTTATGTAATTTTTTTTATTACATCTGTTTTCAAGTGATTTTTCACAGGAAGACACTTATTCATTTGAGTCTTCCAATATATTATACAAGTGTATGTAATGGCAACAAAGACAAAGCAGATAGACACGCACAAACACAACAAAGCAAGTAAAAACTAAAAATTAAGCTAAATTGTATTCTTCATTAATTTGAAGTTATGGGAAATCAAGCTAAGGTTATTTTATTTCATTTGATCATCACTTTCAATGTAGCCAGCTAATGTAATACCTAACAATGTGTGGTTTGCAGCTTATTTTCGAGCCCAAAACGCAACAGAAAAACAAATCAGAGTAGCCATGAAAATTTTGGGCATCCAAAGGTATGTGACAATGTCATCCAAATTTAGTTTTAGTTTAATTTTTTCTTCTTTTTATGTTATTAGTAACTATAGCTAGCTACGAGTGAAAATAGTTCTTATTCGTAGCTAGCTTGAAGAGTAGAAAAATCAGTTTATGATGATCCCAATAAGTTTTTGCAATATATATAGGGCAAAGCTTCATGGATGGCCAAACACATATTCATTCACAAAAGCAATGGGAGAAATGTTGTTATTAAAGTTTAAGCAGAATCTATGTGTCATAATGTTACGCCCTACCATTATTACAAGCACTTATAAAGAACCGTTTCCTGGATGGATTGAAGGTGCAAGGTGAGTAACTGTAAATATGTAACATCCATATCCTTCCAAACGTGTTCATTTCTCAAATTGAATTAATGTGTTAATTATTTATTAATGCTATTAATAATCCCATTATTTGTGTTTTACTTTTTTAATAACAATGACAGAACCATGGATATCTTTGTATTGATGTATGGCAAAGGAAGATCAAATTTTATGATGGGTGATCCAGACTCAAAACTCGACGCGGTATGTATATAAATATTCAATACTAAATGTCATTAAATTTAGAAGTCAATCATAAATTAAATATATATTTCATTTCTAAAGTTTTTTTAAAACATCAAGTACTAAAAGCTGACAGTTAATGTGCAGATTATTTGTGGTTATTTAGATTGATGGGCATTTCTTGAATTTGGGCCTAAATAGGTATTAATTAAAACGCTCATTTGAGAAAAAAGATGACCGGTTGGCAAATAAAACAATTACTACATAATTCTTAAAGTAACAGTGATCTGTTTGACATTATATTACCCAAAAGGATCAAGTATATAATTTGAACTTGAAAATTCTAGCTAAGAAATGTGAATTATATTTAATTGAGAAGCTTAAATGGGTTGAACTACCCCACCAGAAATACACTAGTCAGTATGAATGATTATTAATTGGGAAGATAGTCAAATAATTTTCTGAAATGTACTGCGCTGTTTAACTGCACAGTTATCTTCAAAAATTCATTTGACTGCTTTCTAGATTGATTTTGTAGCTTAAAATTGGTGTGAAGAAACCAGACTTAATGAAGAAGGTGATAAAAATATTTCATCAAAAAATTTCACCGGGAACCACCCCAAATGGCCATGGCCAGAGAGAGCCTCCTATATAAGGGGTGATTTGCACTTTTTAAGTTAGTTCGAGAGCCTATTTGACCCTTTAGCCTTATTAATTTGAGTTGAATGAACTCTACTAACTTCACATAAGGACTAAGGGCTAGCTAGATCTCACCCTCATTCCACAAACACTAATGATATATAAATATATATGTATTAAGCAGATTCCTGGAGATATGGTGGTGAGTTCAATACTTGCGGCGATTATGCATCATGGAAATGACAGTCATAACACATATAATGATGAGGAGTTGATATATCATGTTGGCTCTTCATCTACCAATCCTTTGACAATATTGGAACTTGGAAATTATTTATATCGCTATTTTACGGACAATCCCTGGTCAACCAAGAGTGGGAGCCTCATCAAAGTAGGGAAGCCCATGTTGCTTACTAGTTTGAATGAGTTGCAAAGATACATTTCCTTTCGTTATCTCCCACTGTTAAAGGTAGATACTACCAACATATATATCATTGTCTGTGAAATAGTTAAACTTATCTAATACGAAGTAATATAATAGTAGCTATATTGTGAAATATTCGTAATTTTATTCCTTAACTTCAAATTAAACTAAATGTCCAATTTTCAAGTTTTAAGTTTTCACGTTGCCTTCAAAGAAAGAAATTGCCTGGTTCGTATTGACTATTCACTTCTTTTGTATATGGAAAACTCGTTTTGATTTTTTTATTCTTCTACTAATTTATCATATATAAAGCTCGTCCGACAAAACTAATTGTAGAGTTCATTTGTATTGTACCACACACACATATGCACCACTTGATGGGGATTAATTATTTCTGGTTGACCTAATTTTTTTTTCGTTTTATCATTGAAAAACTTTAGGTATTAAAGTTGTTGAACGCGATACTTTTTCAATACTTTGATGAAAAATGTGCGACTGTTGAGAAAAATATAAGTTTCGTGATTCGGATTGCTGAGCTGTACAAGCCATACTTGTTCTTTCATGGAAGGTACATATATTTAAGTGTATTGTATCATAACATGCTTTATGTTAAAATACTACTAGTCAAAGAGCCATGAGTGTTATTTTATGCGAATTCTGTATTTCTAAAATACCTTACTATGCACTACTTTAGATGCTCAATTTAACATCAAACAAACTGTTTGGTCGATCTTTGAGGCTCCAAGGATAGTGTTTATTCATGTTTTAAAATATTTTGTGTAGCTCATTTTCTCTTCCATTTAAATATATATGCTATAATACATATATTCTATTTTGCAGTTTTGATGACACCAACACAAAAAGATTGAGAGTGGCTACAACACAAACTAGAATGACTCATATTGTAAACTGTGACCCCAGTTGTATCCATTGGGAAGACTATTTCATCAATACGCACATTCCGGGAGTTGTAAAATATGCATTCTGATTATGAAACGATTTGTCAAAAAAATGTAATTTGTTTGAGTGAATTTACATTCAAATTTTTATAAAGTTGCAAGAATTCCAATTTTGTCGCATAGCTTTTGATGGTGCCCTCCTGTAATTTTACTCACATGCAAACATAATAAAACAACGATTTTTTACAACTATGTGATTATTTTCCTTAACTTCAATACATATCACCACAACAATATAGATGGACCATTTGCAATACTTCTAATGCGCTACATTAGATAGTTTAAGTGTTACAAAAAGGCTAAAACAACGCTTTTGTGGACACTACTTTAGATTTCACTAGTTTTTCACCAGTACGATGCACGGAGTGAGAGTTTTTATAAGATAAAAAGTGAAAAAGTTACTCTCTTTGTCTCATAATTAATTCTTATTTTGATTTGGTCGGGCGATTAAAAGGTATAAATTGTGTTGTTTGAAGTTGTGTAGATGAAATAAAAAGGTTATGAATCACAAATTCTTTACTATAAAAGAAAGAAAATATATATATTGGGACAGACAATAAGAAGTCTTTTAAGTTATTTAGAGATAGAGGAAGTACATTATATCATCAAAAAGTAAAACGCGGTAGTAATATACCCATACCTTGTACATGAGAAATATATTTTAAATCATTTACTATGCACGAAACATAATATAATAAACAAATGTTGTATTATTTGTTTCATTAAAAATAACATCAAAGTTTCGTAAAACTACAATGTGCGGAGTATCAAGGAGTGAAAAAGAGAATATAGTTATATAAGAATAGTTAAAATTAAAAAGAGCGTAAGTTAATGTTTACAATGTAAATTTTGGAAGCACCCAACATGTAAACATTATAAACACTATAATTTCGTTAATCGTTTTACGTCTTCTCTCCGCACCCCTTTCTTGAATCATTATTTTCACTTTACCTATAGATAAATCAACCGAATATATAGATGAACCGAATAAGTAGTTCAACTTCTTTTGAGCTAGTTAGACGGCGTTTATTTTTTAAGCAATCTGTTTAATAGCAGTAGTATTAATTAGAACAATATGGTTAAATGCACTAAATGAACTCTTCATAGACATGTTGTCAAAAAAAACCTCTTTATATTTTTTTTGGGTGAAATGTAAGTATATATAGAAAAACACCCAAGAAAATGGGGTTCACGAATGTACAAGCAAGGAAAGGGAAACAAAATTGCAGGTTATCCAACAAAGATAACCTTTCCCAAAACAACACAAACATGCCAAGACAAAAGCAGCCACCAACAAAACAACGTGGTGGAGCAACAAAGCCACAAACAAGCAGCCAACACAGGCAGCCCAAAGCACAAAAACAAAGTGGTGGTCAAAAAGAAAACCACCACCTAAAGGGTTACAAGTTCATAAGGATAGAGGCTATACAGGATCTTATAAGTAATATATTGGATCCTAGCAAAAACATCATCTTCCTTCGGCATCAATCCATCAAAACAAGTGGCATTCTGGGTCCTCCAAATCCAATAGATGGAAAAGCAAAACGCAATCCTAGCCGACTTTGCTTTAATCCCCGAGCCTTGCCTTTCCTTCTTGATCCATTTGAGCGAGCTATGTATGGTCCTCATCTCTCTGGGAATGCCCAGCCAGGTTGTCACCTTGCGCCAAACTCCACCTGAAAAAGAACAAGCAAAAAATAGGTGTGGTACTGTTTCTGGACCACCCGTACAAAAAGGACAAATATTAACCACATTTAATCTATGCAAATTATCAAAATTAGCAAGGCAATTACAAAAATCTAACCAAACCGTGAAGCTAAATTTAGGGGGAATATAATGTTTCCAAATGAAAGGCATTCAAATATGAGTTTCACCCCTAACACGAAGCAAGTCATACACCTTGGCTGAGGAAAGCTTGCCATCAACTTGGAGGCCATTAAGATGGTTAATGGCAGTTTGAGGGAAATCAAAGTGAGAAAGGATTTGATCTCTAATAAGCGCAATCTTCTTGATCAATTGGGAGTCCCTTTTATGATGTGTGAACTCTCAAACACCTCTGCCATTAAGGTACACCCTATGAATCCACCGAACCCAAAGATTATCCTTTTTAACATGGATATCCCAAAGGGTTTTAGCCAAAAGAGCCGAATTCCAAACATGAGTGTCATGAAAACCAAGGCCACCTTGCTCTTTAGGGAGGCACATGTCAGCCCAGGCAACCCTAGCAAACTTGCACCCCCAAAGGAAGATACGACATATAGAAGTGATTCTATCAAGTACTGCCTTAGGAATTGGGAGTGCTTGCAGCCAGAACGATTGGACGCCCTGAATAACGGACTTAATAAGTTCCACTCTCCCCGCATAGGAAAGGCTCTTAGTATTCCAAGCATTGATAAAGTTGGTGATAGAATCCAACAAGGGAGCATATTGAGCCACCGCAATTTTTAAAGGGGCAAGCGGAATGCCCAAATATCTCATAGGGAAGGTACCCTCTTTAAAATCAATCATATGAAGAATGTAATTCATGTCATATTCGGCCAGGCCTCCAATAAATGCTAGATTTGTCAGAATTTACTTTAAGGCCCGAGGCCTTCCAAAGCTCATCCAAGGCATCAACAAGAAGTTTAATAGAAGGGTAATCCCCTTTCGAAAAGAGCATCAGATCACCATTATAAGCCGCATGAGAAATATTAAGTTTACCACATTTGGGATGGAACTTAAAAGTAGGGGCCTTGGTTCTAATATTGAGTAGTCTAGAGAAGTACTCTAGATATATAACAAAGAGGAGGGGGGACATGGGTTCGCCTTGCCTCAACCCCCTCTTGCCCATGAAGTTCCCATGAAGAATCCCATTAATAGAAATGTAAAAGGAAGGTGTTGTAACACATTCCATAATCCAATTCACAAATCTGTTAGGGAAACCAATGGTAAGTAAAACATCCTTCAAAAATTCCCAAGAGATGGTATCATAAGCTTTTCTGAGATCCACCATTATCGTAGATCTAGGAGACATAAGCTTTCTAGAATAGCCTTTAATAAGTTCTTGGACAGAAAAACATTGTCAAGCATGAGTCTCCCATCCAAAAAAGCCCCTTGGGCAAGATCAATAAGCTCAGGTAGACAAGGTATCATTCTAGTAGCAATGATTTTGGTAAAGGTTTTATAAATCACATTAGTAGAGGCAATGGTCGTAAAATCAGCCGCAGTAGGATCATGAGAGGTCTTCGGAATAAGAGCAATAACCGTGTGGTTAATTTGCTTGAGAGGATTACCAGAGTTAAAGAACCCCACACGGTAAACATAACTTGAGCTAAAATTGAGAGTTGTAACACCTTAAAGCTAGGGAAAACCATCAAACCTGATCCCAACACGCATCAAATGCATGTCTAAATACGGACTTATCATAATCCCATGCATATAAGTGTTTAAAATTTAAGTAATTATTCTTTTCAGTTTGATTCCTTCTTTTCTTCTTTCTTCTTTTTTGCATAGTCACGTGCACACATCAACACTAGTGTTTTGAGCTCGTTCACATCTGCACAAAGCATAGCAGCAACGTACTTCAGTCGCAGTGATGCAATCTGCCTCCTGTCATTTTTTTGAGCCCGCACTCCCACGCTTGAACACCTTCCCCTTTATATGTTTCCATGTGCCTCATGCAATATATTCCATAGTCCTCAGTGTTTTTTTGCGTCCCTCCATGAAATTAACAACCTTTTCGGTTTAACATTCTTCAGCATTGCAGCTTTTGCTTCTAAAGGGCCATACTTCACATACTCTAGCAGCATATCTCTCTGTAGTAATTCACAATTTCATTAACAATATGCTTTTCCGAAACACAAACAGTATGATTATATATATACATATGTGTTTGTGTGTGTTATGACTTACTATGGTTTCAGCCATTTTTCCATATCTATCAACTTTTGGAGGAGAACTATCCAGAATCTCTTTTTTTTTTGTTTTCAAATTCACACAAGTCACGTACATGTGTTTGTCCTACACTATTGGAACAAATATTTGCACAAACAAAAATATGCATTACCACATTACTCTAATCCAACACCAAAGCAATATCAACGAACTAACCATATCAACTTCACTTAGATTAATAAAATCTTTCATGTCGTCCATGGCATCCTCTATTCCTTCTCCAAACAACATAAACCTTTCGTGTGCTGTCATGTTTTTGGCATCGGTTGTATACACCTGATATTTTATCCAACACATATTGTTATGGCTTCATTTAATTTTACGTATGAATTATAAAAATATGTTACTTACACAAGGAAATGGCTTTTTGAAAACACGACATGGTGAATCAGAACTCCTGTGTTTCTCTTTACTGTTCAGCACTTTTGCCCAAGTGCTTATCACAATACCCTCAATGTGACCATTGCCTTTCATGCATCTTATATTTCTTCTTGTAGTGCAGAATTCCTTGACTTTAAACACTACCTCATCACTGACAAAACAATTATGTATAACTACTTTTGGATTTATATTATACCAATGTAATTTTTTTAATTTACAAAAACTTTGATTTACCTATCCCCATTTGGATCCATTAACATCCATAAAGCAACTGCTTTTCAGCAACCGTCAAAGCTTCAGTCGGGTCCACAGCTCTGATGACGAATGGTGATTTTAGTGCAACTGTTTCTTTGTATGTTCTTTTGCCTCTTTCATCAATAGTGCTTTTGTGCACCTGTTTATATATAAATTGTAAAGCAATCAATACACTAACTACTTCACATATCACCAACAAATAATTCATTGTAAATGTACCTGCTTGTTATGCTCCCTCTCAACAATCATTTCACCTTCATTCACCTATAAGTCTCCATAATGCACGTTAATAATCTAGTACACTCAAAATAAAATAAAGTTATCCTTTTTTACCTTTTCTGTCATGCTGCCCTCCACATTAGCTTCTTTTTCAGTCATGCTGCCCCATGACTACATTAGCTAGTGACTCAGAGGAAGAAGTGGTGGTGCAGGATGCCACTACTCAGGGGGAACCTCACAGCTCTCTCTCT